AACTTCTGTGCATATTTTGACTGAATGAATGAAGCTGAAATATGAAAATAGTCCAGACAGTTTAACAAATATAACTTTGATCAATTTCTGTATGTACAAATAAAATGCTACAAATGTTTTCAAATGAAGTCCAGCATTCTTGCATTTTGAATAATATTTCTTTAATGCTGTTCATTTTGATATAGTGCTGGAACTGAGCTCCTCATGCTAGCCTTTTCCACTTTGTTAGCAAATTAATGAGATGGAACTTCAGCACTAACCAAACACATCCCTTATGGCTTGTCTAAAAGCTTTCCCAGATACTAAATTTCTCCAAAAGCCATAAATTGAACTGGATGTATGCAAATTAACTCAGAAGTTGAATCCTGAATTTAGATCAGAACTCAACAGAGATTAAGCATTTCTGTTTGAGCACAAAAAACTGGTTATGTTTAGGAAATGTTGTATTATGTAAAAAATTTTTAAAAAATCTAAAAACTTGATATGAGCCTTACACATGGAAGCCAGTAGAAGAGATATATATCAAATTCAACCAGAAATATACACCATACATTAATCAGGAAGCCAAATACATCACACTCAGTTTACTTAATATTATAATGTTATTGTAGTTTGCTTTATGTGCTGCTATTGTATGAATTCAGTTTGTTTAAGCTATTAAATATGATTCATGTTTTGCATACAGTAATTTTGATTTATCAAAGAAATCCATAGTAACCCATACTATAGTTGACTGATGGTAAAAGTGAATATTTCACAAGTAGAAGTTATAATCTTAAGGCATCTTTCTGTAACCAATCATTCCCTTCATAAATTGAAACTTTGGAAGCTGAAGTTTTAATACATTTGGGTATTACCAGATTATGTTGAGTAAATTAAGGGAAAAAGTCTGAATAATTAGTGGAAGCTAATCATTTAAGTTAAATCCCTGACGTTACAAGACAACTCTATATTTTCAACATTTAATTGAACAGGTATATCAGATTAGTTGAAATCTATCCTTAAGAATACAGTTAAGATACATCTGTATTCAGATGTAGAATTATTTTGGCAGGTCAGAATATAAAAAGACATAAAGTTCAGTGACATTTGGCCAATGTAGACACCCTTATAGAGTTGTTGAGGGACTGTTATGTCCCTGGAACTTGCCAAAGTCCCCACCCAGGTCCGTTCAT